CCTATTCAATCAGGCAATTAGTGTCATTGGTAAATGAATGTGATATTATCATTAGTAGAATGTCATAAAAGCAGTTTCATGTCTATTAATTTTGTGCTAATTAGAATTGTTATGACAGCTATGAGTGATTTGTCAAAGGGATCTAAATCAATGTGAATTTGAAAGGAATATCTCCAGATTGGAGGCTATTGTTTACCATGGATTGCATTTAGATGTTGCATTTAGATGTTATTATAAATTCATTGAGTGGGCCCTCGGTTGACCGCATTAACATGGCTTGCCATGATTGCATTATATCTCATGGCCATAAGACTCATTGTTGCTTGTGGCTGATACAGGAAACTTTTATACATGGCACTTGAATGGAAAAGATTGGATTTCTAAGAAAGGGAATTAGCATCAGTCATAGAATCAACATGTAACAAGTCCAAAAACAGATGAAACCTGTTAGCTGCTCTTTTAGATGTGATGTTCTTTTTTAAAAACATGAATATAGCTGACTTGCAAGAATAATATAATATTATCTACATGAGGAGGTCACTTTTTAAACATAAAAACAAAATGAAAGACTTTTTACGTTGATATGTTACAGTGGCAATAAGTGAATAAATTGATGAGTAACTGGTATATATTTAACTGGATTAAAATGTATGCAAGGAATTTTCCAAACTTTTATATCAATTTTGAACAATAATACTTGTGTTTACTGTTCTATTTTAACAACATGAAGATAGCTGTACAGTACACTGGGTTGCTTTTCAGTGATAAACAAGCCTTATTTTTATTCAAGAAGGCGCATTCACTAATATTAGCACCTTTTTGCTTTGTGGATTGAGTTTTATTCAGATAAAAACATAATAGACTTCTTAATTGAGTTCTGTGCAAATAAGTGGATTGTAAATTCACCCGATTTTCCACAAAGAAAAAATGCTCATAAATGTCATAAGAGCTTTCTATAAGATCAAAGAATACATTTGCTTAAGATATTGATAGTTTTATTAAGTATTAAGGTAATCACAGGCTATCAAACTACAAAGCTCTGTGACCTGAAGTCATACTTTATATTTCTGATGCATCCTTAGTCATTTTACATGTTGTTTTGTGGCTTCAATACATTTCAGCCTTAAGCTGTGTATTTTCTTAAAGAACACATTTCAAGCAATTTACAGAGAAAGCAGTTAATAGGCATGTCTTTTCAGGACTATCTAATGTTGAGAAAAGTTCTTTTCCTTCACAAGAAAAAAAAGGGGAGGGGGGTGAGAGGTGGGTGGGTCAAATCCTTTGAAAAATGGGGAAATTCAATTTCCCATTTCATTGTTTTATATTTAAATACCATCTCATATTTCGCAAGTTTAGATTCAGTCTCCAGGCAAGTTACAATTTCAGCTGAAGCACTTTCCTTCTGCCAGTATACAAAACCTAATTATAGTTACCAGCATTTTTCCATTAAAATAATATTTTTATAAATGTGGAGAAACTGTATACAGACTTTTGACATGAACTTTACAAATGGCACACAATGCTGATGTACATGAGTGATTCCATTTTGTCTGCAAAAAGATGGTATTGTTTTCTAGGTAAGTCATTTCTTTGTATAGCCAGAATGATGTATGGCAGATGCAGCGTATCATTCAATACATTTCCGATATCAATGTGTTGAAAAATCCCTCGGCAATGTTTTTATTCCACAATTTTTATACCTCATTATAGCTAGCNGCATCTTCTATTCTTCTATTCTCATTTTTAAATGATTTTATCTGAAAATATTGTCATTAAAAGGCTTCTCATGGTTGTTTGAAGGTGGGTTTTGCTTTTGTTATGAAAGACGTACTAGTTATTAATTTTGTAGGAGACCTGTAATATGTATAGACACCACATCAGCCCTAAGAAAGGGTCAGTTTCCACAATCCAAACATCAATAGAATTCGTCGTTTGCCGAATTATAAAATAAAAATTGCCTCGGCTACCATTTTGTACCCAACAAGTAGTAATGAAAACATTGTTTAATAATTCAGTTTTACCACCATATGTCTCTTCCTATGATAAAACACTACACATTGACCTTTTCAATCATCAAAGATTGAAATAATGTGATGATGCAGTGTTGAATGTGACAGAAGAAAAACATGCCATCGATTTGAAGCATATGGACATCATCTAGGTTTGCTCCCATGGGGTAGCAGCCCTGGGAATGGCTATATATGAGTTATAATGAAGTGATTGGTGTCCTCACGCATTGGTTATGTTTTAGATAATCATCTTAAAAGGAAAAGAAATGTACTTTTCTTTCATATGGATCAACTTTGGAAATGTCTGGACTTCATTCGCCCAGGACTCTGGGCTGTTACCAGGTGGACAAGATGGATAAAAATCAGGAATTGATTGAAGCCGAATGAGATTATTTACCGACATTCTTTTTCATCTCTGATAAAATATCACTGTTACTGACCACTGAATACATTTATTTGATGGGCAAAAGGGAAGGATTTCTTTTAAACCTGAGCAGATTAACTCTGTAGTTGTTATGTGGCCTATCAACAGATATACATACAGATTTATTCCTACATGGCATATATAATCAGTCTGCCAGTGAATTTGAATATGTGCCAGTAAAATAAATTTGTTCTGTTACTTGCCCCTATATCTGATTTGCCCAGCCAGTAGATTTTTAATCCATGGTGTTGTCAAGGGCCAATAAATAAATTGGGCACAGACTGGGCATAATTGGTCTTATCTAGTGCTTACATATATGTAGTTTTAGCTATACCATCTATGTAATAATATATATAATATAATACAGAGGGAAGATAGGGTAGGGCTAAATTTACAAATGTATGTTGTTTGAATATAATCTAATGTTTTACATTGGTGTTTTTTAACCTAATCTATTTGTTGCCCATCAGACATCACTGCTACTGATTTCATTTACCAAACGCTTTTAACTTGTGACATTCAATTTCAAATGTATGAAGATAACAAACTTAATCCTCTCTATCGATCACATAGTTTTATTGCAGTCCTGGGAAGTTAATTTGTCAGGCATGAAGGCAATTCATCAGTAAATTGTCATTCAAAAGTCAGCAACCATTACGAGCGTCATTGTTTAGTTGCCTTGATTTATTGATACCCTCAGTTATTTTTCAGTGTCTTAACATAAAAATGTTTCATCACTTTTTACTTTTTTTAATGAAGACTGGTGGATGTCTTTTTGCATGCTGCTTTTCTAAGAGCTATGAAAGGGCTATTGAAACACTGCCTACACACTTAATATTGAATGACAAGACTTATTTTCATCCATTTCAAGTTAAAAGCCTGCCGTTAACCCAGGTAGGGGTTACACTGGCAAGTACTTATCCTCAGTTTCTGTTTAACCAAGCCTCCTGCATAGATTACTTGTCTATCCCAGGATACCAGTCTATAGCCAGTGCATAGCAGGCTACTCCCCAACATTTATTGTGACATATGCATGTTTTGATGCATCTCACCTAAGAGAGGAAAGAAGCAGGTGTGAAATGTCTTGCCTCATGGCATAGTGTTTGAAGGTTTAACTGCAGCAGCAGATTAAAAAAAAAAAAAAAAGAGGCTTAGCATATCTCAGATGATTGTCGGAGTTTCCCGTTTTCTCTCAGTCTAGTTTTCTAGGTGTTCACGTTTCTTTCAACATGTGCAGATACATGGATTATTAAGAGTTTTTTTCATGCGTTTTCTATTTTCAAAATTGCTTAGTTATTCTAGGTGAAATATTGTATTGAAAGTTTTAACATAAAGCTTGTCATATCTTCTTTAAAGGTGTTTTAGCCAACAGAGCCAATTAAATAACTTGTGGGATCTGTATTCCACACTAAAAAATATATATGAAGCAACAAAAACACACAGATAACTTATATTCTAATTAATATTCTAGCTAAACATATATTGTATGTTTTCTCACTGTCGCTGTTTAAATGAGAACAAAACCTTTTGAGATACGTCCTCTAGCCAGTTAGCCTGCAGATTACCGTTTGCCAAATTTTTACTGGAAAACTAAAGAGTATAAGTACGAAATGAAGAAAACTAAATGTTGGAACAAATTTTTGAAAATTAATATGAAATTTTAATTTGACATTCTTTTATTTGAAACGTATAATAAGGCACAGAGAAATGCCCTCAGAACTATGCAATGTTGTGGCAGGATCTTGTGGGAGAAAAGGTAGAGCTAATTAAGGCTTATAAAGTTACTCTTATTATAATGATCGAGTTGTGGTTAACTAATGCAATCAGTGAAAAGTCGCTACTTTAAACTGTCCCAGGATGAAAACAAACATATTCCTTGAAGTATTCTTTTAACAGGGGTAGATTGTGTTGACACATTTTTTCTTTACTCAGCTTACCTTAAATAGTTTCATTAATCTTTGAACAGGTATACATGACTGTGTAAATGTTTTTTTCTCATTTTAGATAAAATATGGTTTAAAATTGTGATAACAGACCACCTTTTTAAAAACATACCTTTAAAGAAAATTGACTGATGCCCCCCCCCCCCCCCTCCCCAAATAAAAAAGGAGTTGTGCTGCCATTTCCTGCAGGCTAAGCATGTTTGTTGTAGCTGAATAATCTACCTATCCATCCACATAACAAGGCCTGGGTTTCATGTTTTCTTTACCTTTTATTCATTAGTTTAGGGTTCATTTTGTTCCTCAGTCTTTTTTTTTTTAATAATAATTCTTTTAAACATAATTACAGTTATTTGATTAATTTACTTTTTACAAATTGATAAGGCATTGGTATGTACACACAGGCATAATACCAAAGTGTAACAGATTTTTTAAATAGGTAATCCACAACATTGATAAATCTATAAAATTGTGATAGTCTAAAATTTAAAGTCCCAAAAGTCAATAAAAAGTATTGGTTCACCTTAGATTCTCAGTGTATAATTCAGATAACGATGGCAGTTTGAATACCACGTAGGCAGAGTAAATCAATAGGGTGTAGTATAAATAGGCCACCAGTTCTTGCATTTAGGTGCATAAGGCTGATTTGCTTTCACCGAGAATGTTGTTATAATTACCTGCAAACCAGTACTGGAAATGTTGGGTATTAAGCCAGGATTTAATTGGTCTATTGATGATATATACTGATGTTGATGTATTTCCTAGCACAAATAGGGGCAAATGAATTATATGCCAAATTTATCCGTGCTTGGTGTAGAATAAATGTTTACCAGGAATTGGACTTGAAAACCACTGTAAGAGTTGTTACAGCTCCACCTGAAGATTAAGTTTGTAACTTATAGAACTCATGACGACAGTGAACATGGTGGACTTAAAAAGTTACGTCATATTAGTGGTACAGACAAAGGACAACAAAGTAAAAGTTTATGGTAAGTGATGCATGCACTTTCAGTGTATTAATATCTTTGAAATAGATAAATTTGCCCTAAAGCCTCTGGTTTTTGCCCAAAAGCTTCTGGCATAAGCCAAGACTGTATAGTGATGCTTATATGAACCAGTTGTAAAAACACTGTTAAAAACAGGGATTTGAACACCAACTACTTGACCATGTATATTTATTTAGGGGAGGAGGACTCTATCATGAGGGTTCTAATGTAAATCTTGAAGTGCATTTTGTTCAAGGAAGCAAATATCTACTTCCTTGATTTGATACACTATACAATTTCTGATTTTGATCCTTGATTCTAATTCAGGCTAATTTTGGTAGTATGGTGAACCGAACTTTATTTCCGATGAGTGGTAAGAAGGACTATAAAAACTGTTTGCTTTACAGCAAAGAGATTGATTAGTATTGCATGGTAAACAGTTTAATTGAAAATCATATGTAGATAATGTTTTATCAGTTCTGGGAAGAAACTGTTTTGCTCAGACATACTAACCATTCCAAGTTATGGATTAAGCAGTGTTTACATAAAGATTTGGAGAAGTACTTTCTGTGGTGTCAGAAATTGGATTACCAGCACTTTAAATGAAAAAAAGAGAAAGAAACAGAGAATTTTGGCAAAAGCAGCTGATAAAATTCTTTTTAAAACACAAAAATGTTCTGTTAAAACAACTGTTAGAAATACTCAGGCTAACACAAATTCACTCTCTTGCGACAGTCACAAAATAAGTGGATGAGTGTTCTGGTGTACCATGTCATGTACCACGCAGCCAGCATAGTAATTCGTTTTTGCCCTACTTTGAAATATAATTGTGCATCATTAAAGTATGGTACTTAGTATGTCAACATACAACACCAGCATAGCCAACAAAAATCATGTCGGTTCCCTTTGAAAAACCTTCATTCTTACTTGCTTATGTGCATGTATATGTAGGCTTTCTGAGGGCATTATCTTCATCTGAAGTGAAGCAATTTCTGGAACTGGTGAATTTCCCTTAGGGCTTACACAGAATGAATAGTCCTCAGGCATCATTTTTCCAGTAAAATAAGATTTTGCCATTGTGTCATTTAATTGACTTTGCACTATCATAAATAATGGTACGCTGTAAAATATCTGCATGTGAAATACCTTCTAAAAATAATTATTGATCTTGCTAGTATTCTACTATTATCACCAATAGAGCATCTCTGGCAGTAGTATTAATAAAACTGTCATTATTTGATTTCAAATTCTAAAATAAAATAGTTAAACATTTGGTGGATTAACATATATGAAAAATAGAGGATGGTCATGTTTAGCTAGGCAAATTTAAGTAAATATACACAGGGATGATATTTTCCCAACTATATTAGTGGATTTGCAACTTTTTGGGAACCAAAAATATAATTGGCCTAGGTGGCCTACCTGGATTCCACACCATATTTTCCTACTTTTTCTCCGAATGGCAGTCTCATATATTATATATTAAATATCTAGTAAGGGGATTTGTACCTTTATTTTCCTTACACCATGATTTTGTGCTTTTTGCATGTCATAATTATACAGTAATTGACTGTGTTGAGCTGTGATGAGGGTGACACTTAAAACTGACTATATTATGTAACAGTTCTTATGGCAGGACCTGTTATTTAAACAGTTAAAGGCTTTTACAAGTATCCTTAAAGTAAAGGGATGCTTGTGATCAGTCCCAAGCCGAATGAAAAATATGAGGTTGTCAAAAGGATTTTTGCAGGTGCAGTTACTTGTATCCATAGTTCCATCATGTTGGTGGCTGATGATTGATATTGACTTTGTTACCTAAAAGCAGCACCATGAATTCCAATGTTGTAACACCAACACATGTACAGTAGCTTCCAAAGACTACCTAAACCAGGCCCGTAGCCAGCAATTTCAGAGGGGGGGTTCGTTTTCTGAAAAAGTGGACCTTTTACCATAAAATCCTCAAGTACATAGATCAAATTTTACCCAGAGTGGACCTTTTCCCAGCAAAAAGGGTGGTTCTTTCGAACCCCCCGAACCCCCCCTGGCTATGGGCCTGTAAACCCTTGTACTTCATAACTTCATAACTGCAATGCCTTTAAATCATGGGGATTTTTTTTTCTGAAAATGAAATGTGGACTGAAATTCACTCAACATTTATGTCTGAGGTGAAAAAAAGAATGCAAAGATCAAGTTACAGAAAGTCAAACCTCTGGTTAAATAATAAAAAAAAAATTTAAAAGATTTGGATTCAAAATGGTTTTAGCTCAGATTTGTCTTACTGGGAAATTTCACCCTGTCCTATTCAATCAGGCAATTAGTGTCATTGGTAAGTGAATGTGATATTATCATTAGTAGAATGTCATAAAAGCAGTTTCGTGTCTATTAATTTTGTGCTAATTAGAATTGTTATGACAGCTATGAGTGATTTGTCAAAGGGATCTAAATCAATGTGAATTTGAAAGGAATATCTCCAGATTGGAGGCTATTGTTTACCATGGATTGCATTTAGATGTTGCATTTAGATGTTATTATAAATTCATTGAGTGGGCCCTCGGTTGACCGCATTAACATGGCTTGCCATGATTGCATTATATCTCATGGCCATAAGACTCATTGTTGCTTGTGGCTGATACAGGAAACTTTTATACATGGCACTTGAATGGAAAAGATTGGATTTCTAAGAAAGGGAATTAGCATCAGTCATAGAATCAACATGTAACAAGTCCAAAAACAGATGAAACCTGTTAGCTGCTCTTTTAGATCTGATGTTCTTTTTTAAAAACATGAATATAGCTGACTTGCAAGAATAATATGAATATTATCTACATGAGGAGGTCACTTTTTAAACATAAAAACAAAATGAAAGACTTTTTACATTGATGTTACCGTGGCAATAAGTGAATAAATTGATGAGTAATTGGTATATATTTAACTGGAGTAAAATGTATGCAAGGAATTTTCCAAACTTCTAAATCAATTTTGAACAATAATACTTGTGTTTACTGTTCTATTTTAACAACATGAAGATAGCTGTACAGTACACTGGGTTGCTTTTCAGTGATAAACAAGCCTTATTTTTATTCAAGAAGGCGCATTCACTAATATTAGCACCTTTTTGCTTTGTGGATTGGGTTTTATTCAGATAAAAACATAATAGACTTCTTAATTGAGTTCTGTGCAAATAAGTGGATTGTAAATTCACCCGATTTTCCACAAAGAAAAAATGCTCATAAATGTCGTAAGAGCTTTCTATAAGATCAAAGAATACATTTGCTTAAGATATTGATAGTTTTATTAAGTAAGGTAATCACAGGCTATCAAACTACAAAGCTCTGTGACCTGAAGTCATACTTTATATTTCTGATGCATCCTTAGTCATTTTACATGTTGTTTTGTGGCTTCAATACATTTCAGCCTTAAGCTGTGCATTTTCTTAAAGAACACATTTCAAGCAATTTACAGAGAAAGCAGTTAATAGGCATGTCTTTTTCAGGACTATCTAATGTTGAGAAAAATTCTTTTCCTTCACAAGAAAAAAAAAGGGGGGGGGTGAGAGGTGGGTGGGCCAAATCCTTTGAAAAATGGGGAAATTCAATTTCCCATTTCATTGTTTTATATTTAAATGCCATCTCATATTTCGCAAGTTTAGATTCAGTCTCCAGGCAAGTTACATGTAATTTCAGCTGAAGCACTTTCCTTCTGCCAGTATACAAAACCTAATTATAGTTACCAGCATTTTTCCATTAAAATAATATTTTTATAAATGTGGAGAAACTACAGACTTTTGACATGAACTTTACAAATGGCACACAATGCTGATGTACATGAGTGATTCCATTTTGTCTGCAAAAAGATGGTATTGTTTTCTAGGTAAGTCATTTCTTTGTATAGCCAGAATGATGTATGACAGATGCAGGGTATCATTCAATACATTTCCGAGATCAATGTGTTGAAAAATCCCTCGGCAATGTTTTTATTCCACAATTTTTATACCTCATTATAGCTACTGTACAGTAGCTGTCATTTTCAAAGTGTGATATTTACCCAGGCAATGCAATACAAAGCTTTTAAATGACTCTTGAAGTTGAGAACATCTTTTTTTAAACTATTGTGGATATATACGTTGTTCAATTACATGTAGTTGCATTATATTAGATTGGCATTGATTTTGGAAGATCTCTCCATTATTTTGATACAATAAGAGAAATCAATTTTAATGTGAAAGCCGCCTACTGGCATGTGCCTGTTTCAGTTCTAAAAATCAAATATTGGGTTTCATGGCCAAAAAAATAAAAATAAGTGTGTGTATCATCTGAGTTTCAAAGAGAAATTAAAATGATTATATGATGGATATTTCATCTAGTTACAAACTAAGTAAAATAATATAATTTGCATGTAAATAGAATTAATAACAGTAGGTAGTTATATTTGACTTAATTTCATATATCATTTTTACACTATGTATTGACCAGTTATATTTTTGATGGAAAAGTGGTCCAAGAAACATGGTGATAGCTGCATGTGGCCTAATGATTGCTGCTATTGTAGCATCACTTAATTTTCTCGGGACATAAAGCACCTGTTTGGATTTGATTATAAAAGAACTAATGCAGTTACTGTGGAAGCATACTGAAACATTAGATCAGTGAAGGAGCATGTAACATTAAAACAGCATTATTTGTTTTAGCTAGGTCAGGAAGCTGAGATGTTAGTATGGAATGGGTCACTAAATTAACAATTACTGTAGTCCATATTATGGCAAAGCTAATGCTTAAATAGAATGTTACAAAAAATTAGTTACTGAAAAACACAAAAAACAGCATTATCGCAAAACATCAAAAGGTACTGAAAAAATGGATCTCATTTCACAGGAAGGATGCTGTTTTATAGTAATGGACAATTGAAAAGAAATCAGAAGTTAAGGATCTCATTTCAAGGGAATGATCTGTTACGCATGTATATAACCGTATCACTTATTTTTTCATTATCGTGGAGATATTTGTCTATGTATTGTTTCTTTGTGCATTGAAATGAATCCATTATAGAGAATCAAATCACTTTGTATTGTCATTCAGAGTGTACATGTACATTAGACCCAGGCCTGTAGGCGTTGGAGGGATGGCAGTGGGTTGGGGGGGGGGGGGTTCAAATGCACATCACTTGGGCGGGAAAAAGTCTGCTCTGAATCAAAATTTGATCTAAGTTCTATGTGCCATTTCTCATGATGGATCAATCAAAGGGATAAAAACACAGTAACAAGGTCCATTTTTCCAGTTAAAAAATTGAAGTTGCTGGCTACAGAGACCCATGTCACCTAATGGGAATTTTTGTAAAAGGCTTCAGAATAGATGCTTATTAATTTTGGAAAGGGAATGGGTCTTTTTCTTTTATGGCCTCAATTTCCACTCAGGCAGATACTTAGGGCATGTATAGTTTTGTGGGTCTTAGAAATGGACCTTATTGTGGGTGAGTGAGAAGTGTTTTTGTTATGCTAGTATAAGACCCCATTTCCACAGATTTTAGATCGATCTATCCCTGTGAGGAGTATCACTAGATTACTGTCAGCTTAGCCGGCTTACGTAAATGTCTGTCCCACCTACTAAAAGCTGTAAGGGGGTAATTAACTACCGTGCACGCTTGGCTGACAGCAATTCAGCATGAACCCCCAGGGAGTTAGGTCGATCTAGATGGATCGATCTAAATCTATGGGAATGCACTCTCAATGTCACAATTTATAAAGTTGAAATTCTTAAAACAACTTCAAAAAAATCCAAGGGGTTTGGACCTATGATCGAAAGAAAAAAAAAACTGTAGATTTCAGCATTTCCTCTATCTCCAGAGTATACCCTTCCAAAAATTTTCTCAAAAATTTTTCTTATATATTAATTTTGCTATACACAACCCCTGCATACTTTAAAATTTTCATTGCATTTTGTTTTGTCAGGTTCCACAACAGGTGAATCAGCTTTAAAATGTGAAGATGAAATATTTGAGATCAATGGAAAGAGGGTCAGCTTTGACACACATGGTGAAGCAATACGTCTCATACAGCAGGTGAGAATACTAGTGTTTTGTTAGTGTTTTCACAACCAATTTGCTTAGTAGACACGAATCCTTTTTCACAAGAGCACTTTGGACAAAAAGTTTTTAGTCTGTTCTTGGACATAATAACATTATTATGTCCAGGCAATGTATTGTGACTGAAGGAGTCCACTTATTATGTCTGTTGCTGGTAATTTTGACTCAATATGTCTTGTTCAGTCCTTACTCTAAATGAAATAATTACACCTTTAATAATAATAATAATAATAATAATAATAATAATAATAATAATAATAATAATAATAATAAAGATATTGCTACTGTAGACTTACATTCATTGTCCTTTGATAATTTTGATAAAAAGTATATAAAAAAAAAGTATGGAAGTTTTTTTCTAAACGTATTTGAGTAAATCAGAACTGACTTGCATGTAGATGAATACATACAATAACAGATCACCTGGAAAATTATTTATTATATTTCAAAATTGTACTCACAGGTACTGTAAGTATGTACAAATTAAATGAAATGCTGATCATTGTCTTACGATATTAATTTTTTCAAAAATCATGTTGTTGTCTTGTTAATTGTAAAAAAACTGCACGGAGAAAACTCTTTGGCGCTGTCAATTGGTGAGATGCCAATGCCATTGCTTTCCTATTCGCACCTGCTGCAATCGGTGTGCTCACACCTTGTACACTTCTTATTGGCGATCAGAGACATCTGGTAGCAATTATTTCAATTACTAAGACAGGTGTTTGTATTTGTGCGCAGCCTAAGGGGCCTCTGTGTGTGTGTGAATGTATGTGATGGCTGTGACCTGTTTCATTGTCAGCCATTTTGAATAACTGGCATAGTCCACAGTTTAATAAGTGAGAGGTGAGTCAATGCGGATATGTATGTATGCCTGAAATTAAACTTAATGCTTATTTGAAAGATGATTAAGGAGAGAAGAGCGTCTGTTTTATGCAGTTAGCAAAAGGTGGGGTTGTGTTTGTCTGTGTGTGTGTGTGTGAACCAAAACTGTACGTTGAATATATATATCATTTATATGTACTACAACAGGTGCTTGCTTTCTCTTAATAATTTTTGTAAGGAGTTTAGGCTACTTATCAAGTAATGATGGAAGTTAAATTTTGGTATTTCAGAGTATCAAGAGTAAAAACATCACATTGAGGATAAGAAAAAGAATAGGACTTGTAACAGGTAAGTTTTTAGTGTCCAGAATCTAGTTTTGGAACTTGAAAGTTGAAAAAGTTTCTCTGTATTTAAACAAATTTACTTGTGCCATTGGATAGCAAGACAAACTTTTTCTCTTACTGATTCAAACTAGCTGCACTTGATAAGTTACACTGTATGTTATTATGGCAACACAGAAATGTTTGAACTGCTGGGGTTGAATTTATAAGCAAACCGCTTATATTACAGTAATTTACTCTGTGCAGAATATTTTTTTTATTGATTAAAGACAGCCTCCAAGAATGTGGAATGGAAATGTGTTTTTGTTGCATTTTTTAAAACTTTTTTATTTGGCAAAAGGGAATATTTGAGAATATTTTTTTTCTTTTCTATCACGTACACTTATTTAAAGTTTTGATCCCACTCTACATTAATTACACTATTTTTATGAACACAACAATTTTAAAATGATGAATCAGTATATCCAAGTTGCTTTCTGTATGCTATTGTTTATTACAAAAATTAAGATATTGGATTGCTACATACTATAAGTAATAACAACCAACAGGAAAGTCATGTTCTTTGTATTGAAAAGTATGAAAAATGTATCTGATGTTCATTTTATTACTTTACACGGGCATGTGCCTGTAGGTATTTGGGTGATAGGAATTAATGAGCGTATTGTTTTGTTGTTTAAAAAACTGTCTGCCGGCTAGTTCTCTATGTAATGTTCAGTACACCAAACATTTCAAAACATGCATGTGTAGTAATGTAGCAGATTTATTTAAAAGTTTAATGTAAAAAATCTTGACACTGTAACAGTTGTTAAAAACATGAAAATTGACCTTGATACAATTACTACTTTCTTAGGTATGCAATTTTTATGCTATAAAAACTGACAATAAATAATAATATTAAAATAATATGATATATATAATAATATATGTAGCAAGTCAAATGTTTGCACACTGAGTTCAGTTTTATATGGGATGTCGTATTTAGGACGAAAGTGCGTCAGACAGGCAATGTATTGTGACTGAAGGAGTCCACTTAATATGTTAATTAAAGTATAATGTGTTCCTGTTGGACTATGTACTTGCTCAAAATATAATTTCAATGATTTGTGATTTTGCACTTTCTTCTTTGTTGCACGAAGATTGTCATACATATTATACCAGTATTACTGGAACAATTGATAAGAAGAGAGAAAGATTGGCTCATAATCAATTTTTGATCCAGCTAATGAAGGGATAGAGACATTTACTTTAGGATTAATGGCAATTAGTTTTAATAGTAAATAAACAAACTAGCGATTCTTAGCATTCTAGTTTGATGATAAATCTTTTGGTATGGTTTGCAGCAAAACCATACATCTTGTCTCAAAGTGGCTTCTGGCCCATTTAATAAGTGCAGATAGATATCCAATTAGATGATGTTCTAATGTACCCCCCAACCCCATATTTTAGACGATAGGCTTACTCGTGACTAAATTTGTAATCTCTGCCTGTCTGAATGATGTTGCTTTAATGCTAAAAATGTTTCCTTAAGCCCCAAGTTACCACAAAGATAAGTTATTACTTGAGTCATTGAACTTATGCAGTCTATTAATGACACCATTGTCTTTGGCAGTAAAGCAGTTGGCTTACTTGACTTGGTGATCTAAGTTCGACGAAACTACTCTGGTCAATTATTCAGCAGTGCAATCCAGTCTCCCTGAAGATTATCAGTAATTTATTGATCTGGAGCCCTCCTGAAACTTCAGTAATGAAGAGATAAGATGTAGAGGACCTTAGTCAACTCCGTTATTCCTTACTGATTTCTCTCCCCAGCTTCATCTCATTGTTTTATCTGCAAACATAACTTTAAGCTTATACACATTAAACAGTGATTTATTGTTTTTGAACAGACTTGGTTAAATATCATCAACTTAGATATAAAACACCCTTTCAAGATCTGTCACTTGTTTTTTGCTGCAGTTTTTGTTTCTTTGATGAAATAGTTGTAGCTCAATGTTTATGAAAAAGATTAGTTTGAATAATACATTCAATTTTGAAAGTGATAGTCTTGATGTATATTTATGCTTTTGTGATAATAGATGATTACAATGAAGGGGACTTGACTCAGGGATTTATTTCTGGACCAGAGCTTGTATGTTAACATAGGAATTTAGTTTTAATGCTGACATTACTACTAGTACTGCATTTTCATGTATTTTTTTTAATCCACGAAAGAAGATGTGGATAGTTATTTTATGAATTACAGAAGCAGGCTTTATCTATCATTATATGTTGAAGAACTGAATCTCTGTGTGTACTCAAAAAATGTTTTGATAATAGTAAGTCTACAAAAACCATGAGTCATTGTGAAAGCACTCTCTTGGCCATATTTGTCATGTTGAAATTTTATGTAGTCAGAAGGCCTGTCAGCTATGTTTTGATAGGTATTTGCTAGATTAAAAAATATCTTTTACAGTGTACCTAGGTTATTAATTTATCAGATAATTAAGATAAGAGATTTTTAGGTGAAGATTCATAAGCTAGTCAAGGTTTGTTTCAATTTTAGATTTATCTTAAAAATGGGTGATAAAATAAACTGTAGACACCAATTGCTATTGACTTCAACCTATTTTACCATTTTTGGTAACATTGGCTTATCTTAAAAAATTCATTCCTTTTTTCTGCCCCACAATCCAGACATGTAAAGACAAGTGATTTTTTATCTCTGACCTACAGTCAGACTAAAATCCTTTCAACAGTGATATTTTCCAAAGTTTGCACAGAGTAGGCCTACTTCAGACTTGAAACCAAACTATCTTTAATTTTCAAATGACCAGATCAAAATGTCGTAGTAACTCACAATTTTCAAACCATCTCACATATTTTAGTATTGTGTTTCTTCATAACTTGAATTATTATTTTTGTTCACATTTCCACAATTATCACATAACAATGGTTATGACTGTCTGAAACACATCGGTGTATCTAGATCTGGATCTGGCAGTGTGAGTTGGTCAGGTATCCAGTTTTAAAAGCTACTTTTTTTACTGAAGAGAACTTCTGTTTGTTAGAACCCTCTTTTTTTCCCAAGCAGTGAAATGGGTACATCTACTTGTATCAAATCTTAAACAGGGAAGATCTTCATTCTGGCATGTTGGACTTAAACAACTTCTCAGTTTCCCCCAAAATACCATACACCAGCGGGAGCAGAATACATCTACAGGGAATAACAGTTTGTAGAAGACCATGTTTAGCAAACATCCCTGTAGAATTTACGTGGTCCACCCAACTCAGCCATCTCTTCTATGATAAAGCGAACATTTTGGCACATGCTTTGCAGTTTTCTCCTGCCATTTGGGTTCTTCCTGCTGAGGAGGGTACAGTACTTAGATTTGCTCTTATGAGGAATTGTCTCACTCTTAGAAATTATCTCAGATATTTAAAGCCATGTTACATCTTAACAGCAGTTTCGATTATTTATTCGAGTTTAGCAATGGGAATTTGTAAAAATTTACAATATCTAGGTAATGAATCTGGTATTTAAAATATGTTCTTTTGAAGAGACATTGTAAGGTATTTGTAAGATGAATAACAGTTTCCAGTCCAGGGATTTTCACAGTGCAGCTATGTGAATGTGTATTTTGTGACATTCTTTTAACTATTCAGAGGTAGAGAGTGCAGAATACCATAGACCATATAATGATAATGGTTCACCTTTAAGCTGGAGGCAAGGATGTGCCAATCATATCACCCTCAACGATACAATTTTGACTATAAATAGTTTCTGGTTTAGAAATGGATGTGTCTAGTCTACAAAAGCTGCCACATCTTTAATTTGTGAGTACTAGTACTAACTACTTCTCTACTGGCTTTTGGTGTTTTGTATTTTGTATTGAAATTTAGAAGGAGCAGTAATGCATATTATAAGGTGTCCAAATTTTCTGCATGCAGATAGATCTGTTTTTAGAATGTGTTAAAATTGCCAGTGGCAGACATTCTTGCATGAGACACAACATATAATCTTGTCGGTCATGTGCCAAGACCTTAGGCTGAAAATCTATTAGAAAGTACCCTGATGAACAGGTTCAGTTTGTGTTCACCACTCCAAACTTACATCAATCTGCCCAGCTCCTTAACACATTTTTAGTCACCTACATAATTCAGTCTCTGTTTATCTCTGATTTTTTTTGTAGCAAAAAAAAAAAAAAAAAAAATTGTATGTGGAAGTGCAATTTTTAGATAAATTGCTTGGTGAAGTATGTATATGAGTAAGAGTTTGCATCTTGCACTATATATTAGATTTATGCAATCGACAAAGTCTGGGGTTGAAAGATAATGGTACAAATATGGCATTGTTGCCCGAGTTACATAAGCCTTACAGTTTAGAGTATTGAGAAATGGTATATATTCCTGCTTTTACAAACACAGGTTGATTAGTATACTTATGGTGCTTAGCCAAAATGATTCCTTTTTATCTGTAAAATAAATTGTTTTCACATAGTTGGAAGTTGATAACAGCCCCTAGTCCTTCTTGTTTACCCCATGAAGTGGGCACATTTATCCATAATTAATTTATCAGCTTCTGGTGATGCATTGATGCACCATCTATGTTATAACCACATTTTGATTTCCTATATTTTATTTGTAGCTTGACCCACCTTCATGTTTGCATAGGCTATTGTGTAGTAGGTTTACTGACATTCTTGAGGTGTGTTTGGTAAAGACCATAATACACAGAGATGAGTCAAGCGTAAATTAAGGGGGAAGGGAGGCTGGGAATTTTATGATGCCACTTACTAAATGCATGTTTAGTAAAGGAAAAGCTATGAGAAGGCAATGAATTACCATAAATTTGTGTTGTAAGAGAGGCAGCTCCAATGGAAATGACAGCATCTTTCCGTTGAACACCCACCACCCCTCCTCTCCTCCCCCAAAATTGGTGGCTGTCATCACAGGGCCAAATTCTTGACATGCTTCCAACAGGATAGAGTGACACAGGTAGTGGGGCCCAGAGTGCTAGGTGGACTAGAGGTGGTGGTGCAGCAGGTAGCCCGGTGAGTTACTGACCTGGAACCTTGACAAGACAAATGTCCCCTCTTTGAGAGACACCAGGGGCCTGTTGCACAAAACAACTGTTAGCCCGAATTTTTCTCTCTCTGAATTTTTAGACCAATGTTTTAGTCAACTTTTACCCAAGACAAATCAGTAGTAGTCCAATTGAATAAAAGTCTGCTTGTTTTAAAGCAAAGATTATTTAATTGGACCACTATGAATCTATCTTGAACTGAAGTTGACCAACTTTTTGGTCTAAAAGTTTAGACCAATTTTGGGTTAAAGTTCTTTTGTGAAATAAGCCCCAAAAGTTAAATCATAAGCTGACTTTATAAGCATTAGGTTAGTGCAAGAAGAATCTTTACAACTTCTTGGTTTGGACCTCCAGTATCCTAGATGGTGTTTCAGGTTAAAAGTGGTTAAATAATCAAGATGCAGCACCTGTGATAAAGAGCCATCTGTTTCATTTTGATCTCGTAGGTGAGTTGGACAAGTCAGGGAACAGAACAAACACTGTACAATATATATCCTAGCACGGATACATTAGCATTCAAGTTGTGCCTAGTCAGATGAAAATACTGCCATCATTGTAAACAAAATGTGCTGTGCATTCAACTTAAGGAGTACATAATGCATGTGGGTTCTGATATTTTCCTGATTTAGATATAGTTGAACAAGATGATGAGTTGCTATTGACTAATGACATGTACTACTATCAGAAGTCTTGATTTTTGAGAGGTTAGGTGTGTTAAATGACAAGGTACTAATTTAAAACTGATAACAAAATGCATCAGAAATACAAATTGAGGACAGCATTGGTCCTCGATACAAATAACAATTGTATTTATATATTCTTGATTTATTTTTTTAAACTTGCTATTTTTTTTCATTTTTTTAGAATGGTATGCAGAAGAATGCAGGTTTTTTGTAAATATTCAGTAGGAAGAGGATGCAAGTTGCACGCTCTGCTTAAGCCATTATTTGTAGCGAAGGCATCAAAGGAATTTCCCTTATCTTTTATCCTAATTCTCACTATTATCATTGTAAACATTGATGACCTTTTTAGAATGGGGTTTGAAATGGATTTCGCAGGTAGACAGGAGAGCCCATCCATGAGTCCTGGCTTTGGTTTCCCTGGGCTCAGGGTGAAGTGTAGAATATCTGCACAAGATCGCATCAGGTGAATAACAACATTATGAGAAATAGGTTTGGATGTTCTGTAACTCAAATTTTTCAAAAATTCTATATATCATTATCATTAGTATAAAAAATACCTGGAAACAGGAATTGATAGTCAAGTTGAGCAGATAGGGTTTTATGTGTAGATTTGGCAAGGTGTATAAAGCATGCTTAGAAAGCGCGATATAATAGACTAGTGTCTTCTAGCTTGACAGGATCATTTTACAGGTTGGATTATGCTCTGTGTTGTAAAGCCAGTAAAATGTCATAAAGCAAAACCAGAAAAACTGAATGAAAAAGACCAGTGTACACTTAGGGGCCCAACAAAATATTCTTGCTGTTTAAGTTGGATAAGGTGTTAGGTAGGGGCCCAACAAAATATTCTTGCTGTTTAAGTTGGATAAGGTGTTAGGTGCCTGCCTTGAAACAGGGTAGCCAAAATTCAATTTCAATGCAGTTTTGAATTGAGGTCCTTGGTCAGACTAAGCTTTTAAAATTTTATGTAACAGATTTTTTTCTTAGGTAAAAGCTTTAATGAACCTGGCTTGAATCTTTGCATAACCCAAACAAATTCTACAATCTCAATGTCCGAGTCATGTGGAGTCTAATGTAATTTTAAGGCAATTCTAGTTCACCTGTTGCTGGATAGGGCCTGGGGTTACACAGTGCAAACTTTGTGGTTGTTATCTAATACCAGGATTATTTGTGATAATTGGTGGGTTTTGGTTACATTGGATTAAAACATTGGGCTCAGATTACCTGTATTATTTGAGCAGTGGGTGAGTGGTAGTCGGCAGCAGGAGGGTACCCAGTTGGTCCAGCTTTATTAGTAGAGATGATACTGTTGTTGGAAATTTAGTAATCATAAAACACATTTCCACTTTGTAAATGTAATTTTTTAAATGGAGGAAACATTCATCTTGTGCAGTGAATGGCTCTTATTAAGTATATTATATGAATGTTTTTTTTTATAAAAGCCCCAGATTACAATATAGAATTAGCTATTCTCCTTTGAAAGATTACTGCAAAAGTAACATCATGATAATAAAAAGTAAATGTCATTAATGCAGTCTTTCCTAGTAACGTCATTTAACAACGTTGTCGACTGGTAATTTTGTTAGTAGGATTCTCTTTTATTTGAATTTCACCATTAGGGCACACTGATACAAGTGATGAAACTTCCTGTAGAGTATTGAATAAAGATCTCCTTTCAAAGCTGCGGTCTTCATATAGAGCTTTTTTTTCTGTAAGCAGACTCTGATCTTGGGCACAATGAGCTGTAACATACTTGAGCGAGCTTAAGGATTGGCAGTTTGGTTGCAATATTATTCACTTTCAGGAATCCAGAGAACACAATAGGAGAGACACAAAATATGTTGATTTATATTCCATTCAAAATGTTTATGGTCACACTGGAGAGTTTTGGGTAAAGGGTTACTTTTAAAGGTAGGCGTGTTGGCAATATGGTGGAGAAGTTTGTAAAATCAAACAATCTGCTTCCCATGGGGTGAATTGGTAGAAGATGACGTTGAAATGGATTCCTTATGTTCTTGTTGTGTAAAGAAGTTTTTATTTTCTCCTTGCAGACCCAGATCTGACAGGCATTCAAGATGCATTTGTTATGGCATTTTCGGAAGAACAGCGGCAGCGAATAGAGAAATATGGTGGATTTGCTAGAGTGAAGGATGAGGATATGAAAAAGGAGAAGTATGATGGTCAGCGTTATCAGATATCTGCACCAGAAGAAGTAGACATTATAGAAACAGAACCTAGTCCCGTGACAAGTAAAGGAGGGCAAAGCAATTCAGCATTTTTGAATAGTGAAGATATTATGGAAGGGAGTGCAATAAATGGACACCACATTATGAATGGACACATAGGCCCTGATGTACAAGTAAAAGTGAAACACAAAGGAATGGAAAATCCAGATATTGATATGATTGAGGGAAGAATGACCCCTACCAAAGTGGCTCGCCGTGATTCGCCACAGGATTATGCAAAATATGGACACCAGCAAAATGGCAGTGCAAACAATCTCCATCAAGAAAATGGAGAGGAGAATGGGATAGATGGTCCCCATCGGGAAATGGCCATTGACTGCCCACCTAGTTTTGTTGCTGAGAGCAAAGAGCCCCCCAGGTACCCCCCAGTCAATGGAGGTACAAGGCAGCTGGGGTCAGGGCGAGGGAGGAATGAACACAAACCAAAATCATGGATACCTATGCATCAACAGCAGCAATATCAAATGACTAAGGAAGAGGAGCTAGAAAGACTCCGTTATCATCAGGAAGAATTGAGGAAACGTCGCGAAGAAGAAAACAGAATTCAGAGAGAACAGGAATTTTTGCGTACTTCACTTCGAGGCTCTAAAAAACTCCAGGCATTGGAGGATAAAAGGCCTGCATCCCCTCCAACGGGGTTTGTGAACACAGCCTTCGAGGAAGATGATGAGGAAGAAGCCACTGGAGCTGTGGCTGCTGGTGGAGAAGCAATACCTATGAAACCAGTCAAACCACCCAGACATTTTGACCAAGTGGACCAGAAGCCTCCACCAGCAGCAAAACCACTTGGTAAGTTTTAATTAAATTATAAGTTTTAAAGAAATATTTTTATTTATTTATTTAGTTAGTTAGTTATTTAGTTAGTTATTTAGTTAGTTAGTTAGTTAGTTAGTTAGTTAGTTAGTTTGTTAGTTAGTTATCGATGTACAGTATTGTGAGACATGTATCTTCAATATTGTTTTATTACATAAAATGTGTATTATTTGAGACAACGTAAAAGATACAGAAAAAAGATTGCTTTTTTTTCTGAGGATGAAAGGTCATCAGAATTGTTGATACCGTTCAGTCCCAATCACTGAGAGATATTTCTGCTTGGGCTTCTCTATGTGGATTCTGAACAAAACTCTTTCTGACTAAAAGAAGTCTGCAATATATTGACTTTGAATGTACACCCAGTTCCAAGGGTCATAAGATAAAAAAAAAGAATTCAGCTTTGAAACAAAACAGTTCAGTGTGCTGCTCTTAGAAAACATTACAAAGAGCAGGGGGTTGTGATTGGATGTTTGATGCCTGACAAATGGCTCCATCTGGACCAGATTGTGTTCCCCCATGTGGGTGTGTAAGGTGATCTTCTTGCCCTCTTCCAATATTTGCCAATCTAGAGCTTGGGAAGAATCATGGCCGCCAGCTGCCCAACTTGTTCTTGCTGAATTCACAGTAGGTTTTTACTTGGTTTTTCTTAAGATTAATCAACTAAAAGAGGGTGATTTGTTGGAACCAAAATGTTGATATTAGTCACCATGTTTTACTTATCAGGGTGCATTGCTTTAAAATGGCTATTCTTTACCTCGTGCAATTTCATGCCATTGGTATTCCTGTGGATAGTAGCAAGTGGATAGTAAAAACTGGAATAGTTTTCTGCATGAGAAAGATATGAAAATCAAACCCATTGGTTGAGACAACTTGTTAGTCTACTTCCCATATGTACCCTGGTTTGCCCTTAGACAGAGATTTAAGAGATGTTTTGAGAAGCGGATATATTTCATAAATCTTGGGCTCTCATCAGGATGTCTCCTGCCAGGTTCAAAGAACACCATGCTATGTATAGAGCTCACCCAGTGATGTATGTTAGTTGGATAACAACATTTGTACAGGGACATGGTACTTGAGAAATTGGCCATAGGGAGGAAATTGTGGCACTTATTTCACTGTTAAAATCTTTGTCCCTGTGAGGACTGGTGCAGAGAGAATCGTGTGTTCTCTCTGAAAAACAAATGCTTGTTATTCAAGTGTTATTCAGAGATGGTCGTCATACAACTCAAGCAAAATTTGGTCCATACAGGGTATTTAGATTCTACTTACAGTGCTAAAACCTTAGATTTCTGTCTACAAGTAGCTGATGTCATCTCTCTCCCCCCCCCCAACCACCACTACACACAGCATATGTGTTTATTTAGCAATCAAAATGAATCGAGATCAGCTACAATTTCATTAGAACAATGTTTACAGGCATTGTACTTTTGTATATTATTTCTACAGATGTTCTTTATGCTTCAGCTTTTCTTAGCAGTTACCCAATATTAAACTTACATTAAACTGATATATATATTACCAAAAATACCACTTGTTTACATATCTTGAAAGAAAAACTCCCTTAGTAACAGTGGTTCATAAAACCATTAAAAGCCATGACTCTTTGGGTCTAATATGAAAACCAGATGTTATATTTTACCTCTTGAGACATTTGTTAGTTTCAAGGGCTGGAGGTTTTAGATTACAAGTAAGTTCAGTATGAGTGATCCCTTGGTTATCACTCATTCTCTCAATTAAAGAAAACTAAACACAGCCATGGTTTACCTTTCACCTTGACTTATTTCAGGTGTAGAGGAACTTTTCCAGTCCTTGAACCACATACAGAGTAAGCTACAGGCGGCAGAGAACCAGACCGACATCACATTTTTGCGCAGTCTTTTTCTCAACAGCCAGTTTCAAGAGGCCGTCAGAGTGCATCAGAAAGTTGTCGAGGTGGCGTCCTCTCCACGCGCCCCCCTCACCCCTGCCTGTAAAAATGCTCACGAAATATCGCACGACGTGGCGGATTCACTACAAGGTGTGCAGCACCCAGAGGCCTTAGAATTGCTACAAATTCTGAGCAGATATGAAGTTCAGGTAAGCAGAATGTGGTGGGATTCTCACTGAGTATTTTACTTGGAATTACTTTTCTGCCACAGAGATCCTTCTTGTCTGTATTTTATATCAGATTAGCAGGTGCCCTGTACTAGTGCAGTTTTGATGGCCCAAGGGGTAAAAAGGAGCAGGAATCTTACAAAAGTCCATTAAAGTGATCTCATAATTTTTGGAGTTTGCACCATGCCTAAAATGTTTTAAGTATCGGGTACCTACTCAGGGAGGGAATTATTACAGGTCACCGATATAACTGACTCAACCCATGCAGACAGATGAGTTTCAGCTGCTTTATGACTGTAGGGCACTGTGAAGGCCTGCTCACATCAGGTTCAGCTTGGGCACAAAAATATTTCAAGTTCAATGGTTTTCAAATCAAAGTTACACCTGATGTTAACAGGCCCTTGTATTTAGCCCTTGTTTCTTTTAGACCTGTTCTGTACAAATACAGTACTTAATATTTCAAGCTACTTGTGTTCAAATTCATTATACATGTTAGTAGTCTAAAGGAAATCTTTGGAAGGTTTAATGAATTATTTCAAATATGAAGAGGGAGTGTGCACTTGGGCCTGCTGCTAGGCTGATTACTGCAGTGATAAGAAGAGAATATTTCAGAGTTACAGTATAGTCTATATCAGCCTATGTATATTCAACTTAATGTAAAGTAATGGAATTAACAGAAATATGCACCAATCTGTCAGGATTTCATTGTAGGAAATTGTAGATTTGTGGGATTAGTTTGCTGCAATGTGTATTAGGCTGGATTCTGGCTCCTGAATAATGGGCAATTTAGCACTTACATTGAAGCAAGAGGGTGGTTTTTCATAATTTGATAAGTACTTCATCATATATCAAATATCACATATCAAAATCTTAGAAACAATTTTTTTTTCAATACGATGTTATCTGAGATTCACTTGGAAGCACTAGGCAACAGAATTGACATGTATTGTACAAAATTTGGGTCAAATTTCAGTATAATTTAATCAACAGAATAAAAGGAAAATGTTCCCATCACTTTCTTTCCAGGGTCTTCTGACAGCCCATGACGGAATTGCTCAAAGTGAGGTGTCCCCAGCAGAGCCTGTGCCAGAAGAAGAGATGTCCTACTGGGACCAGATATCCCCCCAGCCTGAGGAAGGCGAAGAAACATTAAGGGTTGTCAGACTCATTAAAAATGCAGATCCTATTGTAAGTACATAAAATGAAAGTACAGTCTTTCAGTAGTACGATCTGACAGCACACCACAAATGGCACTGTTAATTTATTTTTTATGATGTCAAGAATCTATAAGTATGCGATGAATCCTTGTTCAAATGAATTTCAGGGCTTTTGACAGAATTTTAGATTCCTTGATGCTTTGTTTATTTTAAGACAATTAGCAGTGGGAAAAACTTAACAAAGAAGGAGAGTTGGAAGTCATAACCAATTAAGTTAATTTACACGAACTATCTATTGGTTGGTTAGTAGCAGGAAAATTTTTTACCCTACAAGCACTTCAGTGTTGGATTCCTAGAAGAATACCAGTCATACTTCTTAGTATAGATTGTTGCCCTACTGTAATATAAAGCAGGAGATCTGATGCAAACTAAACACAGATGCTGCAGCTGCCATATGTTAAAAATGTTAAAAGATTGATGTGTCTTACTATGACGTCACTGCTTTTGTTCCTTGTGATAATAATGAGTTCAAATTTGAACTCTTTATTTATTTTTATACAGGGAAGTCGGGTCTACTTTAGTTTATACTGTTTATCTGCTCTCCTGCAGGGGCCTGCTCTTGTATTGGCTCTGAATGAAACCTGCCGAAGTACAATTCAGGACTCTGTAAATACCACTTACAAATATGAGCATTACTGCACAAAATTTTTACAGATAACCCCCCCCCCCTTTATCATTTCTTACCATTTGCCCTACAACACTACAGACATATTTTGTTTCCCTACATTTGTACAGTTTCACCCCATTTCACTTATAATCAACATTTATCTTTTATCGTTAGGTTGTGTGGAAAATAGACCAGGGGAAAGGGATGTAAATCTGTTCAAACCTCGAGGGAAAAGCAGTAATAATAGTTATTGTCACATGTTAGTTGAGAAGCCCTGCAGTACCCCCCCCCCCCCAAAAAAAAAAAAAAAAAAAAAAAAAAAGTAGTGAGAGAAACTGGATAGCATAACAATACAGGCCATTATTCTGTCCATGAGTGATGAGTTAAAAAAAAGATCTTAGTTGAATTCACACTAGGAAAAAAAACAATGTTGACACTGTAATCTAGAGAAACAATTCATCCAGGGGGAAAGGTCTGGAAGTCTCTTCTCACAGAAGGCTGGGTCAGTGAGCTGGATGCATTCATTCAAGTAGCAGCCTACATAAAGAGAGGTGTGTGTGTGTTTGTATGGAATCAGTATTCATGGTACTGACAAGTGTGTGAAAGTGCCACATTGTACACACTACTCACACTCTATGTGAATGCCTGTGCAGACCAACAGTATGGGCCACTTAAAGTGGACTTCAGATTTCTTTTCTGCTTATTCAATGTGACAGTGATGTTTCCTGGGTTAGAAGTTATTCATTAAAAGAAACTGTATAGTTTGAACAGGTGCTTGACTCCTGGCAGCTTTGCCATTTTGAAGTAGAGGGTAAATGCTAAAAGTCTTGTAGAATTATGTCCCCTGTTACTTCCACTTTTCAAACAACAACCAGAAGTATTAACTAAGCACATCAAAGTACAAAAAATATCTTAATATTGGAAAATAGTTCAGTTGCTAAATGTATTATTCAGCTCAAGTTGTGCCCTGAAGATGGGTATAATTTAATCATGCTTGCATTTTGACACACCTGAGGCAAGCTGCCAATGTAAACATGGTTCAAGTGCTTCTCTGCCAGTCCATCAGCAGATAAGTAGAATTCCTCAGAGGTTGCTCTGTAACATTATAGCCATCATAGATCACTGTAACAAATAGATCTTCTCAACCCCAGGGCCACATACTTGTTCATGATAGAGTGAAAATGCCAAAGGAAGTGTTTTTTTAAGTAGATAACTCTGATATGTGTAATTTACTGAAGTAAGACATTTGGTATGAATCCTGGGATTGGTGTAGAATTTTAGCAGGTTAAAAGTTG